AAATATTTTTACTAAACGTGTTAGTAAATGAACAAGAACTTATTTTCATATATAAAGTCCTGTGTTATTTCCAAAGATTACAGTTCTCCTCTTCAAAGTAAGATGTATGTACTTGTGGCACATGCATGTAATTCCATCTACTTGGGAACCTGATGCAGGAGGATTGGAATTTCATCCAGTCTGGGCAACTTAGCAAGACCCTGTCTCAAAATTAAAAAGAGAGGTGGGACTGAAGATATGGCCCAGTGGTAGAGCTCTTGCTGCCTAAAGCTCTGGGTTCAATTCCAATACCACTCAATAAAACAAACAAACAAAACCTCCTACTGATTATACTGTCTGTGTTGGAGAACTTGAGACCAAAGACTTAATAGGATTATCCAATGATAGTAGCAGGGTGCCATTAAGCTTGTGCTTCTGGCTATTGGCCTAGTGTGTGTTTGTTTCTGGTTATACACTTCTAGAATAGGACATAAGTGTATTTCTTATAAGTGTGTTTCTCAGAAGTTGGTGGGCTTTCCTAAATGGAAAATTTTAGAGCTAGAGCTAGATAGTGTCTTCGTGGAGAGGAAGCAGGGAATAGGGAGTTAATTCTTCACTGTTTTATGGTACAGTAGAATTTGCATGTTACTGTTAACTGATTTTCCAGGGGATTAAGGTGGCATTGAGCTTAGAAGAATGGTTAAGTTTTAACACCTCAGAGCTGGATCCCTTGCTGGAACCCTGGCTAAGAAGAAACCATTGTATAACTCCTGGAAACCATTGTATAACTTAATGTTAGTGAAACATGGGAAAATAAAGATTGGATGTATATGACAAATTTTTAAAAAGATATAGAAATAGGATTCTTAAAAGAGAACAATTCTATTTGACTATCTTATTGGTGGAATTGTGGGTTTTTGTTGTTACAAAGAAATGAATTCTCTGATACAAAATACATATTAAATGAGTTAAGTCTTTGCTTTAGAAAAATGTATAAATGTATTTCTTGACCATAGCCCAAGAACTTTCTGAATTTACCCTTAATTTGAATTTTGGTAAAATGATAGCTGTTTAATCAATGCCAATATGTTGTGATATCTGATAAATCTGAGTATAATATTTGTATAAAAAGTATAATATTTGTAATAAAATATTACTTATAATAGTTCATTGTCAAGTTGCTCTTTTATTGGTGACATATTTGTTTTAAAAAGATAAAAATATGATATCCAGATATTATAGCATATTAAAGTAATGTCTATAAGCCAAGACTTATACAATTTTTTTTAAAATATATTTTTAATTGTAGATGGACACACCTTTATTTTAATTATTTATTTTTGTGTGATGCTAGGATTGACCTCAGTGCCTCACATGTGCTAGACAAGCATTGTACCACTGAGCCACAGCCCCAGCCCAAGACTTATAAAACTTTTTAAAAGGAAACTATTGTTTTAGTAAAAATGAAATGATAACCTTTAAATAATTTTTGAAAATAATGTTCTAAGAATTGAAGTGCTAAATTTTTTAATTCTGATGATAGTGGTTTTGTTTTTAAAAAAGTATTCTACATTAAGAATTATCTGGGATAGAAATGGTATTTTTATTGGTGCATTACAGTTGTATGTATCGATGGGAAGGAATGGTATTTTTGAGATTTCTAATGCTTGTATACAGGAATATTTGGGAATTCCAAGTTAAAAATTGAATTACCTTAGTTCTTTAAATTTGTTATATTCATTATTACTTTTTTTTTTTTTTTAACATAATACCATTATTTTGTTTGTTTAGTTTGTTTATGTGGTGGTGCTGGTGATTGAACCCAGTGCCTCACACAATGCTAGGCAAGCGCTCTACTACTGAGCCATAATCCCAGCTCATTACATTGTTCTTTTTATTGTTTTAATGTTTAGCTTTTCATTTCAATGTCGCTATAAAAGTTATATTGTTTCTACATTTTTGTTATGAAAAAGTGGTGTTCTTAGTGGCACGCTATGTTGACTGATAAAAAGAAGGTGGTTAGGTCTGCAGGGTTGTTCAGTGTAGATTTTTTGGCGAAAATAAGTGCAGCCTCTACATGGTGCATTTCAAGTGTACTTTCTTAATAGAGAGGAAATGTCATGCCAGAAAAAATTCTTTCCAGATTTGGAGTTAAAGTGAAAAACAAAACTTACATGAACCTTAAAATAATTAAGGAGAAGAGTCTTTTCTGATAGGTGTCAGACATAAAATTCATAAATCTCCTCATGCTTTTGGCCATATGTAAGAAATTCAGATCTTAATATTCTGTTCATCAGTTTTGTAAACAATTTTAAGCATTCAGATTGGGCATTAAAGATAGTGTGTTTTAAAAACAGACCATGATCAGGAGAGCCTGAAGACAAGATTTAAAGAAGTAAGATTTGATGATTTTGAACAGGACTTTTAGGTGAGAAGTTGCAGTGAATTCCATTTCATATTTGGAAAAGCCTTCTCTCTGACCCCCTTAATATGAATAACTGGGATGCAGAAGTATTTGTGGATTATTTACTTTTTATAATGAATAAAAAAGGCAGAGAATTATATAAGAACCTACATTTTGGTTTAGTTTCCTTTAATAAATCTTTGTGTTCTTCTCTTACATACTTAAAAGCTTTGTTGCACTCCTTGCTGAATGTCACTGGCAGGCTTAGAATGTGGGAGTCACGTGGAATAAATTTTTCTGTATTTCTAAAAGTAGCAAAACCCATACATATTAGTTCCTTTGCTTTTGCCACCCCACTTCTCCTATACTTGAACTGACTGGAGCTTGGAGAGTTTAGCTTTCTCCTGTGGTTACAACACATGAAGTATTTGCCTTCTTACCCTGAAGCTTTGTGCTGTCTGCTAGCCACTAAAATGGTGTAGGGTTTGCTCTGAAACCTGCCATTTTATTGTGATTGTGTGAACCCATTTGGTACACATCTATAGTTCTGAGACCAGCCTGGGTAAGACAATGAGGACCCATATCATAAGTAAGTAAATAAATAAGTGAATGAAATCATGACACCTTTTATAAGCACATAGAATTTTAACTCAAAATTTTCCTCATTGAAGATGTTTAGCGATTATGAACATATATTTTGTATGTTATATTTGGATATTCAAAAAGTAAGCAATTTAATACCATTTTAATATCAGATTGCAAATTCCTAGGAACTAAAACTAGATTGGCATAATTCTCACAATTTTGCTCTACACAGTATTTAATATAGCTTAGTAAATAAATTTCATTCCTGAACAATTTATATACCAAAAGTTACCTTTTAATTAAATAAATGGCACATTGATAATAAGGATAATGAAAATGGAGAAGTATAAATGGAATAGTTTTCCATTTTTATGAAGTAGAATCAGAGGATTTATTTTATGTACTAAAGCTCCTTTCTTCCTTTATTATGGAAAATTTCAAAGATAGATTCCAAATAGAATACCTGATTTCAACAGCTATAAGTTCACAGCCAGTCTTATTTCTTGTATACTCTGCCAGCCCTAGAGTATATTGAAGCAAATACTAGATGTCAGAAAAATTTCACCCATAAATACTTCAGTTTCTGTAGGAGATAATTAAACCATTTTTTCACCATGGAAAAAGATCTAGTATCCAAGTAGTATATTGTATTGTGTGAAAACAGGTGCCTCCTAAGAAAATTAACTCACTATAACTCTCAGTGTTCATTGTTCCCTATCCCACCTTTAAAATTCAGGTTTAACCTTTCCTTTGATCTCTGACTCTTTCCCTACACCCCCACAAGGGGGCAGTAAAGGAAGAGAAAAGTGAAGTTTACGTGAACCTGATTTGGGTTTCATTTTTGTTAATCCAGTTAATGGAGTTGCAGAACATTTCAGGAGTGATTTTTTAGAAGCAACTCAGTGTTCCTTCCCACTTTTCAGAGAGAAAATGTTAACTTTCTTAAAAAGGGGTTAAGCTGACTTCAAAAAATATTTTCTGAGTCATTGTCAGCCTTTAATTTTCTTTGTGAATACTTCTAAAAATAATGATTTGGGCTTTAGTGAAAATATTGTGTTTGAATTTATACCTAATTTCTTTTTCTTTTTCCTTCTCTCTCTCTCTCTCTCCCTCTCTCCTTCCTTCCATCCTTCCTTCCTTCCTTCCTTCCTTCCTTCCTTCCTTCCTAACTGTAGTCTTAGATAACTATTGTTAAAATTTCTCATTGAATGAGTGGATGTTTCCTAGAGGTATTTGAGCTGGACATTGATTAGCAATGCAAGGGGCATAATACTATCTTTATCCCTAAACAGCTTTCCCATTTTTCTAAAAAGCCTCATTGAGTGAATTATAGTTACAAACACCTACAAATTTATAGATATGTTGCTTTATTTATAGTAAAAACAGTATTCCATTTGAAGCATGTTTGATACCTGAATAGCCTATAAATTTCTGTGTAGTCTGGGGATGTTAAATAAGTATAAAGTTTTATGCCAACTGATTAGTTCTTTGTTTGGACTTAATATTTGGTACTATGATATGGGAGTGTTTTTCCTCTTAAGTATGATATGAGTTTATTCTTGCCTTTTTTTTTTTAAATTTCCCAGTGAATGTATTTCTTTTGGAAAAATTGCTTATTTTTCCAAATGGGCTATATATCGTTAACTGTTAAAAGTATTGGGGAAATGATGGGACAAATGTGCAGAAATTGATTCTTCTTTTTGTGTGTCTTGGCTTCTGTTTGCAAGTCGTGTTTTTTTCTTTTGTTGCCACCATGGAGTTCTCTGATTATCAGAGTTCGCATATCCCTATAGCATGACACATAATTACTATGAAACTGGTATCTTGCATTCCTATAGCATTCTTTTTTTTTTTCTTTCAGCGCTTAATGCCTTTTATTCCTTAGCTTCATGCATGAATTATGTGGCATATGTGAAGAGGCTTGAACTGTTTCCATTGCATTCTTTCTGGATGGCTCCTGTTATATTTAGGGTATACTTATACTTTAGACAAAGTAAGAATGTTATTGTTGTTGACCTTGACACCAGATAACTGGGCAGACATTATATAGCTATGTTTGAATCCTCACAAAATGTGCTGTTGAAGCCAACAGAGTCCTGGCGGGAGACTCTTCTGGACAGCAGAGTTATGGAACTTTTCTTCACAGTAAGTGTTAGTCTTCATTTCTGATAGCAAGGGCCATGGAAAAGAGGAAATGCCTTTGTATTTTTAAATAGAACAGGACAATTGCTTTTCTCCTTTATAATCCTTTCATTAATATATTTGCCTAAATAAATTACATAAAAAGGTTCTTGCTTATTTACAAAATATATTGTGAATTATTAAGGGTTTGGAATCCTAGAGCTTCTCAGACTTTTTACACTCTTAAAAGTTGAGTATTCCAAAGAGCTTTAGTTTAGCTTATGTTTAACCATAGCTATTATATTTGCTTTATTAAAAATTCAAGCTAACTTTGAAAAATAATTTATTAATTCATTTTTAAAAAACCCAGAGCCTTTGCATAGTAACGGCATAGTCATAACATTTTAATGAACAAATAAACATTTGTTTTTGAAAACAAAAAATATTTTGTGAGAAGAGTAACATTGTTTTACTTTCTTTTTTGTTTCCTTTGTATTTTTACAAATCTCTAAAGTCTGGCTAAATAGAAGACAATAGATTTTCTTGTCTCATTTGCATTCAGTTGGTATTCTGTATCATGTGGCCTTATACATTTGAGACAGTGAGACTGGAAAAGGCAGGTACTGTGTTTATACTATGAAAGCAGTTTTGCTCTCACAGACAAATGGCAGGATCTTAGGAACCTTTAGTGATCTCCAGCCACACTTAGAGATATGTCTTTGAACAGACCTCCACTACTACAGAACAGCATAAGAGCTGGGTTAAGTTAGTATTATTTAATAGCAATTTATTTCAAGTATAAATTTAAATACTCCTCATTATTTTTGGTTAGATACAAGAAATAAGCAGTATATTCATATTTGCCAAAAAGTTTCCCTAGTAGAATTTAAAAAACAAAAAGTATGTGTGTGTTGGGTGCTAATTTGCAGTTATAGGATGAATACACTAGTTAGTTAGATATGATGACTTGGACAAAAATCCAAATAAAGACCAATTAAAAAAGAAAGCTAGTTTGCTGAATTCCAACCGTTATAGTTTCTTACCTTCTTTTGTATTTTGAAAATATTATGCATAAGCATAATATTGTAGTTCTGCAGTATATATTTTAAAATACATGGAACAAGGTTATCCACCCTGAGCATTAATCGCCTAATATTTTTTTTTGTTTTAAATCAGAGAAATGATGACTAAAACACTATCAAGATCAAAGAGATAATTGTAACTAAAATGTAAAACTATTGCCTGCCTCATCTGACAGGAATTGTTTTAATAGGGGTCCAAGTTCACTTCTTTGTATTATTCACTGGACTGAAAGTAGATCCCACTCCAGCAGTTTTTGAAAAGGTGAAAAACTTGTCGGCAATACTGGAAACAACTCCACCAAATCTGAACAGCTGTCTAGACAAACCAGACAGCTGCTCCTGTCAGCTGTGAACTACCACATGCAAATAACTTTTGAATTTGAAAATTAACCCTTTTTGACTTTGTTATTTTAGCAGTTTTATTTGTGCCTTTTCATTTAAACAGTTTATAAACAATTTAATTTTGTAATAATTTTGTCACAAAAATCATAATGGCTCACTTTTCTATTTAATTTGATTTTTGTTAAATTCAGTTTCACTTATGTGAATTCATTGCCTAATTTAAAGCACTTTTCCAGTGTACATCACTATTATGGTAGATTTGAATAGATATACATAAATATACTCTCACATGAGGTCAAGACTAATTTGTTGATCACATTTGAAATTTGGAGTATTTTTGGTTGCCTTGTGCCCCTCAGAAATTTATAAACGTCTTGACTTTTCTTTCTCCATAAGGTCTTAGGGAAAAATCCCAGTCTTACTAGGTTTTCCTCCTGCTTTTTTTTTTTTTTTTTTTTTTTGACAGATTCTACCTGATCTTGCTTATGGTCTTTTCTTTCTTTGCTCATTGCATAAATATTGGTGTTCTTATCTTAGTTTCCAACTTTGCTGACTTTATACACTTTCTTGGGACTGTTGCTTCCACGCGTAGGACTTTAGGCACCATTTCACTGATGACTTCCAAATCTATATTCAGCACAGGCTGCTTCAGATTCCCAGAGCTTCGTAATCCCAAGTGCTTACTGGATATTTCAATTTGGATGGACCACAGACTTCTCACATTTAACATGTTCCAGTAGAATTTGTCATCTTACTAACTTGCTTTCTTGTCTTGATGAATAGCCTCACTCTTAACTGCTCTGGGAGTCCTGCTAGACCTGCTCCTCTTATCCCTCACCTCTTTCCTTTATTCAAGTGATGAATTCAGTTTTTAATTGAAATACAAGTTTGTGTGTAAGGAAACTCTTTTTGTAGTGTGGACATTAGAAGAAGGGCAAGAATATATAAGAATTGTTTATCATGAATTTTATGATATTTTGGGGAAAATAAATTAAGCTTGCACAATATAGGCAGCTCCAAAGATAGTAAACTTTACATTGTCAAGGACAGTTAATTTTACATTATCAACATTAGCTAGTTCATTGAGGATATTTTTTCAATTCCTTACTAATAGACCAGCAGTGATCAACCATCTGTCTCAGTGGGTAGAGGAGCTTGTAAGCAGGGTTTCTCTTGCTCCAGACTACTTTGTAGCTGTTGGTAGAATGTATCCTTGCACATCACACTTCAATTTATAGTTTATTGATAAAGAGCATATCAAAATGTTGTATTCAAGTTCACAAACTAGACAGTGTATATTTGAATTTATATATTTTATCTTGAATTTACTATATAAAACATATAATACAATGGACTATAGCTTGAAGAATATTTGTATTTTAGACCTGGGATTGATGAACTTTTTCTATTATTGGGCCAAATAATAAATATTTTAGACTTTTGCACATCATATGGTCACGCTCCACTCTCCATTATAGCACAGAAGTGGCCTAAGGTAATAAATAAACAAGCATGGCCAAGTGTTCCATTTAAACTTTATTGATAGTCATTAAAATATGAATTTTGTATAATTTTCACAGGTTATGGTATATATTATTTTGATTTTTTTTCCTTATTACATATACATGAAAAAACTAGTTGCAACCTCGTGATCATACAAAAACCATGGGTGGTGGTTTTCCAAGTCTCATTCTAGACCAAAGAGTGTAACACATTTTAAGCATGTCAATAGATTAACTTTGAAATCTTTAGAGTTGTCATGGTGTTTTAAATTTCTTGACTAGAACAGTAGGAAGTTCAGTGATTAAGTATTTCTGGAATCAATCAGTGAATAATAAGTTATTGTGTTCACTGTGACCAGCATTCTACCAGTGAATATTTAAAAGAAATATTCTGACATCAAGTAATTTATAAATTATTTTTAGAGCCAAAGTGAATATAACCTGAAATAATAAATGTTCAGCTCTGAGCATTTACAAAGTTGAGAGTTTGTGTAGGAAAGAAAAGGGTTACACTAGTGTGGACATTGGAAGAAGGGCAATGGTTATAGAAAATGGTCATAGTAAATATCAGGTGGGCTTAGATGAATAGTTGCCATATAATTCTTCACTGAATATTTTTTGTTTATTTATTTTTCATATCATAGAATGAAACCTTTAATATCTGAGAATATTAATAATACCGTAAAATTAGAATGCAATATTTGGGGAGCATTTCCTTTCATATGGAACATTGTATAAGCATTTCACATTAGTATTGCACAATAGAAATCAAATCAAGATGCGCTTTTAAATGGATTTTTAAATACAGTCTGCTGTCATGTATGACTAAAAAAAATAAAAATAATAAATGGATTAATGTATAATTTAAATGAAATTTTTATTTAAAACAATTTTAGTATTATATAAAGCAGTGATGTAGGATAAAATGAGATTCAAACAAATTGTAAGCAGTTTCAGAATTAATGAAAGCATAGACTCAAGTTGTTTGAATGAATGAATGAATGTAAGGGATTGAATGGTATATTGATTTTCTAAATTTGCGACTGTTTACTTCCACTAAAGCAGCATCTATATACTCTTGATTGAACTTGTCTGCTAACTTTAGCAAGAAGCTGTAGTGAGACATAGTTAGCATAATACAGATGACTGTCGTTGTTGCTGTTTTTAGAATAAGCAGTATGTCTGACTGGCTGGCATCTGTTTCTCTCTTTGTCATAACATGCTGGAGACGGTTCAATTTTCAAAATGTAGGTAGCCCTCAGTTAAAAATTAATTGATAGGTTTAAAATCGTGGGCTATAATGTCAGGTGGACTGAGGGGCAATTTTCAAATTAGTTTAATTCAGGAGTTAATTTTCTAGAAATAATCAGCTACAGTGAATTTTTCTCTTACCTCATTCGGCATGTAGACACGTGACCCTTACAAAAGAAGAATTTATTTTTATGGATTAGTAATTCTTTCTAACAGGTACATCGAAAAATCAGAGAAGATTCAGATATGGCACAAGATTCTTTACAGTGCCTTGCCCAGTTAGCTTCTCTTCATGGACCCATCTTCCCAGATGAAGGATCACAAGTTGATTATCTAGCACACTTCATTGAGGGATTGCTGAATACTATCAATGGGTAGGTATATTTACCCTTTATAACTGAAAAGGGAACTTTCCGAGTTTTCCTTGTGTTTAAGAGTGAAGGAAAAAAGAAAGTAGTGGTTTTTTTCCTCCGTTTTGTATTTTGAAGTGAAGTCATGTGGCTAATTTGGAATTAATACGCAGAGATATACTTTTAAAAATGAGTAAGTGATAATACTTGCATGTTTGGAAATGAGTTGTAATTTTTCTTCTACTACCACTTAATAATAATCCTCATTACTTGGTTTATAGAATTGAAATAGAAGATTCTGAAGCTGTAGGAATCTCCAGCATTATCAGCAACCTGATAACTGTGTTCCCTCGAAATGTTTTAACTGCCATTCCCAATGAACTTTTCTCCTCCTTTGTTAACTGCCTCACACACCTCACTTGTTCTTTTGGGCGAAGTGCTGCATTGGAAGAAGTGGTGAGTGACTATTGTAAAATAAATCGTGTCCTTTTTTCATGAGGAAATTTATGCTGTCTTTGTAACATTTTCTTATGACATGTAACTATTTTAAGTGAGTGGTAGTAGCTGTTGTTAAATTACGAATTTGTTCATATATGTAAGTTAGTTGGCAACATGTGTTTGGAAACATGACATTTAAAATTTGGGGGTTCAAAACAGGTGAAAGTTATTGGTCTTAAGATTTTAATTTTGAGATAATTGGAATTCATTACTTCTATTAAAAGTTTTGTGAAAACCCCATTTCACAATTTAGCAGGGTACTGCTTTGTTGTATATGGTGTGATTATGTGTAATTTTATATGTATATGTATTTATTTTGATAATTTTTATTTTGGACTTTTTGGGAAATTATGTAAACATGATGCAGTTCAAATTGTAGCCATGCTTATTTTGATTAGATGCTTATTATTTTTTGGTAGAAAGGCTTAATAGTATATTTTGGTAGGATCTAATTTACATTAAAATTAAGACTAATAATAATACTAATGATAATTTTTAGCACAGATTTTCAGATGTACATTTTCAAGTTTATATTTAAATTTAGAACACACGTACTAAAACCCTTGAAAACACAGCTGCTTTTATAAGTTACTGTGAATAGCTACATTAATCATGGAAAATAATAGATTTTTTTCCCTACAAAAGTTATTGTTGAAATTCTCTTTCATGAATCAAAATGTGAGTCTTTTAAAAGATTATAAAATTAAAAACAGTATTTGTAGATATCTGTTAGGATTTTATGTTAAATCCCAAGTAGTTTTGGTGGAACTCTGGCACTGTGTCGGCTTTTTGAATCCCTTCAGAGGTCTTCAGAAAATTAAGAACTTGGAAATGATTGTGTTTATGTAATTGGGCACTTTAGTGATTTGATGAGAGGAAAGTAGCTGGGTCAGAAAAGGATTTATCTGATGGAAAACATTTAAGTAGTAGAGGAATAGAAAGTTAAAGCCATTATATGTGGGGTTTGAATTTCCTAGGGAAGTAATTTTATGTTCTAAACGTGAAAGTCCATAGAAAATTTAAGTATTCAAGTGTTACTCAAACTCTTCTCAAATGATTCCAGATTTTGAACTGGTTAGGACTCATTTAACATGGCTTTTGTACTTTTCCCTCTTGGTTTATTTTCTCCCCTAAGCCAGGTAGATTAAAGATTTAGCATGTTGATCAGATATTTAGAAACATAGCTACCTTTTAGTTTCTGTTTGTTTAAGAGTAGTCCTAACATTTCAAAAATTGCTAAAGATATATGACATTAGTGGTTTGCAAATTTTACATTGAAAATTTATTTATTTTAAGCAGGAGGCCCTCAACTTGACAATTTTTCTGTCAAGTTTTAACATAGAAGTATTGGGGTATGGAAAGCCTATATAAACTTTCAGAGAAGCAGGTACATCTTCTGCTTGTTTCACAAGAGGGCATGCTCCGATGTGCCTCATAGGTTTCATTTAAGTAAAGTGTTGTATTTTTAGATGTTTTAATTATTTTAATTGATATATTTAATGGTTATTTTTAAAAGTAATTGGTCACCCATTATAAAGAACAGAGGGTAACAGTTTGTTTAAAGCTTTTTAATTGTGGAAGCCACATTGGGAGGTTTGGTGAAGCTGACATCTGAAGGGGTAGTAGCCCTTGCACAGTGACTTGAATGAAGACTAAACAAATCCTCCTATATGTCATTTCAGCTTCAGTGTTTTATTGTCTGGGGAATATATAGCTAATACTAAAAGTTCATGAACAAATCCAGTCAAATCAGATTGTCTGGACAGACTGTATTATCTTTTGTTTCCTTGGTCACCCCCTGGTTGCATTATTAGTTCATAACACGTAGTAGTTGTCCTGAGCTGGAAAAGTGTATGAGGGAATGATTTTTTAAGGAAATTTGGGGACATTAATTCATTAAAAAAAAAAAAAAAGGATCCAGTGTGGTATTGAAAGATCATGAAATTTGGTGGGAGAGATAATACAGTCATGAGCTGAGTAGTTGTAAAGTGCAGGATTTTAGGCAAGCTGCTTCCCCTTTTCTGAATTTGTTTTCTCATTGGTAAAGTCAGAATGATAATCTCTGATATTTTATGGTATGGATTAACTATATGAAAGTTCCTGTGTAGTATGCACACTGAAATGTAAAATAATAATTTTTTAAAAATGAACCTTTAAGATGGTTGATGCTCTCTGTATTTTATGTACTGTTACTATGTAAGACTGATTAAGTTTTATTTTGTACAAACCAATAATTTTTTGTAATTTCAATTTTAAAAGACTTTTTTTGTTTGTCTTTAATATTGAAAGAGCTTCTTTTCTGTAAGAAAACATGTTTTGCAGATAGACTTGTTTTATTATAATACTTTTTTCAGAACTGCTATTTCTTTAGGAATAATGCTAGATTCTGTTTTTCTAAGCAAATCTTATCTTTGATAGTAACTATATTGCTATACCAAAAGGGAAAAAAAGAACATTTTCATAGGAAGAAAAATTTTGATACTGGTGTGTTTTTGAAATATGTCCTTGCTTAGTGACTTTTGCCTTTGCGTGAACATTATATTTATGACTGTCATTTGACCTGCAGTAAACTGAGAATCAAAAAAAGTTCCCGTCTTTAGCCAAGTTGTTCTGTTAAAGTTTTTTGGTATTTCTTGAGATTTCATGATGCCGCATAAAAATGTTTTTTATTATATCCCCAAGTCTAATTATTATCTGTTTCTGGACTGAGGAAGTGAGAATGATAGTAGAGATGAAACAGTATTGTCTTGAAGATTAAAATTCTAATAATTGTTCATTTTAATATACCAACTATATCAAAATATTTATTATATTAGTACATGCATTTGTATTAATTTAGTGAAATTTGAGGAAGATATGACCTGAACTCTATATCAGTTTCTTTCTTGATTTATTTTATCTGTAGAGTATTTTTAGTTCATTTCACAAGTAGGATCATCAGAGAGGCCATGCAACAGATTGAATAAAATGTAATGACAGCAATGTGTTCTGTGTATGTATTTTGATGTGTGTGTAAAGGGAGGTGTGATGGTAGATTTTACTTTATGAAGGAAGAACTTTACATTTGGTTTTAGTACATTTATAACCTAATCTCAGGACCAACAAGATAAGGTAGAAAAGGATTTAATAAACTTGTTAGGAAGTTCCTTAAAGAGTGCAATGCAGTAGAATAATTTAGCAAGTGAGGGCATTTAAAGGTCAGCATTCTTGATTCAAAATCTACTCTTGTCTTGTTCATTGGGTGATCACTTTGTGGAGACAAGATATGATGAAAATGAATATAGTAAAGCTAAATTACAGATTGAGAAGATTAAGAGAAATCTTGGCATTTCCATGATAAGAAAAAAAATATTTAATTAATCAATTTATTTATTTGTCTGTTTTTGTGGTGCTGGTGATTGAACTCAGGGCCTCACACATGGTAGGCATACCTCTACCATTGAACTGCATGCCCAGCCCTTATTTTCTAGAATGGTGATGTCAGTACAGTGTAAATAACTTGCATCTTCTCTCATGAAAGAAAAGCTTTTTTGAGAATCCCTACCAACATCCCTTGCTCAGTGGTTCTGATAGCTATTATTTAATGATATTAGAGAGAGCAAGGTGACTGTCCAGACTCTGTTCACCTGCATGCATTTCTCTAGCATAAAAGATCATAGGAAAAATGGAAATGAGATGCATGAGTATTTTTTAAACCTTATACATTGAAAGTACATTGCTTTATAATAATAACAACCATAGTTTTAGCTCTATGATGATATTTGGAAAAAACTGGTTACCATTATACCTTAGTATAAAATATACTTACTATAAGAAGTGTTAATAAGAATTATGTTAATGTTTTATTTTATTGTGGTTGGATTATAATTTTACTATTCAATGTTTTGTGATTTGGTTATAACTCAGTTCTGATTGTTTAAATCCTAATACATAACCAGTGTTTAAATTTTACAGAATTCTTGTACTTGAGATAGTGTATGATAGATGTAGAATAAAGCTTATTTACTGTGATAATATTGTTCCATGCAACATCCCTGTTATTGTTTATAATGCTAGCATTAGAAACATAAATATGAACATGAACCCTGTGGATCCAGTTCAAAAATGAATGCTAGAGTGCAGTGAAAAAGATTGCCCTTCAATCCATTGTAAGTCAAAGGAGTTCCCCAGATGTCAACCCATTTAGGAATACTAATAGGTTAATTTGGTTTCAGAAATATGTGTTAACAGCTACTATGTGCCAGGTGTGATGTATAATATGTATGCATTACTTTGCATTAAGAATTTGGAAATTCAGGGGTGGGATGTAGCTCAGTTATGGAATACTTGCCTAGCATGTGCAAGCCTTGGATTCTACCAAGCATTGCAAAATCAAAAAATGCAAAGAGCATTTACAAAGGAAGAAAGTACGTTAACCAGAGTAAAACATTTAAAAACTTGTTCTGTAAATTAAAACTTGTTCATGTTTTTATAGGGGTAAGTTTTTTTTTTTTTTTTTTTTTAAATTAAGTCATCTGTCTATAGGATTCTACTGACAGCTGCAATACTTGTCTATTAAATCAATTTCTCTTGGGGGATTTCAGAAGCCAGGAATACTGTCAGCTACATAGGTACTCTGAAGTTATGTTAATTTTGTTAAGGACTAGCTAGAAAAACCAATATAATTAGATAATGGATTGATTTCAAAGGTTTCTAAATTCTTACTTTCTTAAATAGAGGGATCCATTTATCACTCTTCTGTCACTTTTGTCTATTAACATATTTATCTAAAATGATACTATATTAGGCAAGAGTCTAAAATACTTACAGCAGAGGAGTAACAATATAAACAAGCATGGCTCTTCCATTTTGTTCATAAGTCCTTGTTAATGTTTTATACTAGGCAGTGTAAATTTTTTTGTGTGTGTGATTTATCATTGAGTTTGGTGATTGTGCTATAGCCTGTAAATTTTCACCTT